TTAGTTTCAACGAATTATATTCTGAGCTAACTTTTTATGAATTCGAAAAAGCATTCAAATCCCTTAAAAAAACAAAGCAAACGGAGCAGATGACATAAACGGTAATATAGTTATAGAATGTTTTGAACAATTAAAAGATATACTTTTTAAGGTTTATGGAGCATCTATTCACCAAGGAATTTTTCCGGATCAATTAAAAATTGCTAAAATTACCCCAATTTTAAAAGAGGGAGATCAAACAAATATCAGTAATTATCGTCCTATCTTCGTCCTCTGCACATTCTCAAAAATACTAGAACGCATTATGTATAATAGATTATACAATTATTTCCTTTCTAATAATTTGTTATACGCCAACCAGTTTGGTTTTAAAAAAAATAATTCGACGGAACATGCAATTATCCAACTTGTACGTGAAATTTCAAATTCTTTTGAAAAATCTAAATTTACATTAGGTGTTTTTATCGACCTATCGAAGGCGTTCGATACTGTAGATCATGAAATTTTGATACAAAAACAGAAATACTATGGAATAAATTACAAAGTTATAAAATGGTTCCGAAGTTATTTATCTAACCGTAAACAATTTGTTTTTAGTAATAGTTGTTATCCAAATGAGTTCCTAAATGTTTCATGTGGCGTTCCCCAAGGCTCCATTTTGGGACCACTGTTGTTCTTGATTTATATAAACGATCTAAATAAAGCCTCAAATTTAATGAGTATAATGTTTGCTGATGACACCAACTTATTTCTTTCCGATAATGATATTTACAAACTCTTTTCTAGTATGAACGATGAACTTAAAAACATATCAAAATGGTTTATATGCAATAAGCTAACTCTTAACAGTAACAAAACAAAATGGATTCTCTTCCATCCAATCGCAAAAAAACCTTATTTACCCCAAAATTTACCAGAAATCTTTATTGATAATACTGTGATAAAAAGACACTATGTCACAAGGTTTTTGGGTGTTTTTCTTGATGAAAACATCACATGGAAAGCGCATATTGACTATATTAGCACAAAAATTTCTAAAAGCATTGGAATTTTATATAAATCGAGAACATATCTATGTAAAAAAGATTTAACCCAACTATACTACACATTTATTCATACCTATTTAAATTATGCAAATATTGCTTGGGGAAGCACAGAAAAAAGCAAATTAAAATGTCTTTACCGCCGTCAGAAGCATGCGATCCGTTTAATTAATTTTGCGGATCGATACACTCATTCCAAACCTTTTTTTATTGAAATGAAAATTCTTAATATTTACGAACTTAATGTGTTTAATGTTTTATGCTTTATGTATTTGTGGAAAAATGACTTATCCCTACCTATCTTTAAAGTTCTCTTTTGTGAAAAACCAATAAATAAATATACTCTTAGAAATAATAAATTTTTGCATAAACCTTTTTGTGGAACAAAGTTTAACCAGTATGGTATTGCTTATCGTGCGCCGTATCTTTGGAATGAAGTTGTTTTGCCAAACTTTAATATATTTTACACTTTTCCAATTTTTAAACATAAACTCAAAAATTTAATTTTATTTTCCGATGACATAATAAGGTTCTTCTAATTGTAATTATGTACCTTTATTTAGAACTTTTTAATTGTAAAATACGTTTTATGTTAATTGTAAAATACGTTATATGTAACGACTCTTTTTGTTTTACTTTTTATCTTTTTGTTTTACTATTTACTTTTACTGTTTATTTTATAAATAGATTATATACATTGTAAATAATTATGCTAAATGCTTGTAAAAGGTTCTGATGATAAGATCAGTACGATCTTCTTTCAGAAACCTTGTTTGTATTTGTTAAAGTATTGTATTACGACAAATGTAAACTTAAAATGTAAAAAAAAAAAAAAAAAAAAAAAAAAAAAAAAAAAAGACATTTGAAAAACAAATCTAAAATTTGTCAGTGTTTCTAGCGCAATTTTTAAAGTATTTCCTTAATATACTGACTAAAAAAAGTTGCAAAAAAATTGTATATCAAAAAATATTTTTGTTTTCGTTACATTGTTATCTACTTTTTTCCTCGACTTGTATCAATTATAGTAGTGGAAAATAACAAACGCTACAAAAAATAAAAAAACTTTTTTTGACTATAGTTTTCTTTTTCTTAGTACTAAATTTTTTTTAACTTGTTTTATTTAGATTATTTATTTTGTATAGTCGATTCTTTTCTTGGAGTATTGCTGATTTATTCTCTAGTTTCTTATAACTTTATTTTGCCGCGAATTTTTAAAACGTCTACTATATAAAAACGTGGTCAAGAAAAAAATTCCAAAAGGAATAGAGTAAAACAGGATAAAATGAAATAGCAGGTAGAGTGAAGTAGTTATGACAATGTTTCTTTTTTCGCTCTTTTTATTAATTAATTATTGAATAATTTATTTTGCAAAATTAAATTTGCTATTTATAAAAAAAGTTACGAGTTGAAAAATGGAAACGGAGTGTTGTGAGGTTGAAGAAATAAGTAAATAATAGGCAAAGCAATTGTTTACTTTTTAAAAGTGGCTTTTGATAATTCTTAACTTAAGTCTCAAAGGGCGGATCAATCTATATAAATTCATTGTATTCTTATTAAATTGATCGTTATTAAATCTATTTTAATATTAAATGATATAAGGATATATAATAGTAATAGTAATAAAATTAAACAGAAGTACGATCAGAGTTTAATATCAGCACGAGGTATGTAAACTTGTGATAATGTTTAACATAGAGATTTTATTTTTGAATTTAACCTCACAATAAGGAATAAATCATAATTAAATTCAACATGGAGATTTTGTTTTTGAATTCAGTGCCACCATTAGGAATATAAATAGTAATAAAATTTAATAAAGAGATCCAGTCATATCGTTTTATATCGCCACAAGGTATATGTAATATAAATAGTAATACATTTTAAAAGAGATTAAATTTTAAAATTTAGTGTCACCAAAACAAATATATAATATAAATGGCAATATAATTTAACATAGAAATTATATTTTTGAATTTATTGTCACCATAAGAAAAATATTCTTTGATTGACTTGCGGAATAGTGGGTGGTTTTTTATAATGAATTTTATAAATATAATAATAAAAAAAAGTAAAGATAAAAGAATAAAATAAGAGAAATGAATAAGATAAAAATATAGAGAATGAAGAAAAAAAAAGAAATAAAAGAGAATTAAAAAAAAAAATTAAAAAACAAATCAAACAAATTAACAAAAGAAAAAAAACAAAAAGAAAAAGAAAGAGACAAAAAACCAAAGCTAAAGAGAAAAACATTCGAAAATGGTAATTAAAAAGAAATTAAAATAAAATATAAAAATTGCTCGGTTTTTGAATAAAGAAAATGGAATATTGTCATTTATTATAAAAACTCTATACTTTCGTGACTATTTGTGTGCACGTGTGACACGTTTTTATTTGCGAGTATTATTGAATAATTTTTTCTTTGTTTGTTTATTGTTATTTTTTAATGAAGTATTTATTTTATTTTTATTGTTTTTATTATGATTATTGGTATTAAGATTATTATATTTATTAAATTGTTGTTATTCATCTTTGCAGTAATTGTTTTAGTTACATGGTAGATTGTTACGTTTTGTCAGTACATAAATGTTTGTAACTTTCCTGTCTATGCATCATATTTAATTGTTTTAAAATTGATATTGGTTTTTTATCGCATAATTTTCTTATTATTTTTATAACTTATAATTTATCATCATTATTATTATCATTACTATTTGTATTATTAATCCTATTTCATGGTATTTACTTAGGACTAGTATTTAACTATTTGTAAATGACCTCAAAGATCTTTTATTGAAAATATATTGTTATTGGTATATAATATAAATAGTAATAAAAATTAACATAGAAAATAATTTGAGTTTAATGTCACCACAAGGTATATATAGGTTGTAATAATGTTTAACTTTGACATTTTCTTTTTGAATTTAGCATCACCGTAAGGATTATATAATATAAATCCAAATTAAATTTTAACTTTAATTTTTTTCTTAAAGTCACGGTAGTAAAGTTTGATTGGTTTATTTTAAGTCATGGCTGCGAATATGATTGGTTGATTTTGAAAAATTTATTTGTACATAAAAAAATAAAGCTTCTTGAACCAGTAGTGTGTTTAGCATTGTGGTAACTGATTTATTATCATCTCGCGGTGATCCGGGATCATATCCTTCGTTTAGTGAAATGTTTTTATATGTTTTTTAACTATTTTTTTTATTGAAAGTTACATTGATTTTTATTATTTACCAACATCGACTGATATATAGGGATAGGCGCAGTGAGTGTACATACATCCGCTGATTTAGGGATAGGCGCAGTGAGTGTACATACTTCAATTTAGGGGTTTTGGGTTGGGCATGCATTATTTAAAAAAAGAAAAAAAAAATCAACTAATCAGAAATCACTACCGTGACTTTAAGAATAAAATTAAAGCGATGGTACCGTTGCGCGAGCAACAGCGTTAAATTTAACATAGAGAATTTTTTTTTCATATAGTGTCTCCATAAGGAATATATGATATAAATAGTAATGAAGTTTAACATAAAAATACAATTAGAGTTTAATGTCACCACAAGGTATATATAGTATAATTTGTAATAATGTTTAACATAGAGATTTTATTTTAGTGTTTAGTGTCACCATTAGGAATATATAATATAAATAGTTATAAAATTTAACATATAAATACAATTAGATTTTAATGTCACCACAAGGTATATAATATAAGTAATACAATTTAACACAAAGATGATATATTTAAAGGAATATATATCTTGTAAATTGTAATGAAATTTAACAGAGTTTTAATCACAGAGTTTAATTTTGCAATATATATAGGTACTGGCAGTAATAGTGTGCGCACCTTTACACCTGTGTAAATTGTTTTGCACTTGAAATGTAAACTGACTGAAAATATTTTATTTTTTTGTTTTTTTATATATTTTGTCTTTTATCTTTTTATAGGATTTGGTGTATTTGCTAATTCAAATTTTGATAAAAGATGTTTTTTCCTTGAGTACAGAGGTAGGATTTTTAAATAATTAAATTTCGTACTGTCCGATTTGTCTTGCGTGCACGATTTAAAATGGCATGTGGGTGAGTGCAAAAGCGCTTGCCAAATTAAAAAGGAAAATATGCAATTTTTTTAATATGATACGTTTTCCGATTTATGTTGAGTAAAATAAATTATTATTTTCTAATCGATTAAAACCATATTTATAAGAAATTTTTATTTAATTTGCCTTATTTTGTGTTATATTATTCAAATAAAAATTTAAAAGTTTAATTTACTACGTGCTTGCCTTGTAAGCAATAGATTCTGAGTTTGACTACCACTACGTCCCACAGTGCTTAACATATTTTCTCTGCTCAGCAGATTATTCATCAAGTTTTTTTTCGTAGTAACAGTTAAGAGCAGTAATAGGAATCTTATAAAATAAGTATTCTTTTTAACTGAATTTTGGGAGCTATATTATCAGATCGATGCTATTGACCAGCTGTTATTTTGAGCGCTCAAATAGTGATATGGTTTTTTTATTTACTTTTTTTTTTCAATAATTTTGTCTTATTTCTCATGTCTGCACTATGGAAAATCTAAATAAGAAAAGCAAGCTTTTAATAATTTTATTTTTATAAATATTTTATATTTATTCTTAATTATATTTATCAATTTATAAGTTGGAATATTTCTATCACTAATAATATACTAGTATTTTTTTAACATATAAAATTGTTTATTATCTAATTTTTAAGGAGAGATTATTTCTGAAAGAGAAGCAGCTACCAGACTTAAAACTTATGAAAAAAATGAAATTGGGTGTTTTATATATCATGGAATTAAAGATGTGTATGGTAAATCTGTATGGTATGTATGTAAACTGAAATTCTACATTTTATGTCATTTTTTTATTTGAGACATTTTAGCCTAGTGAAATTTGAAACTATTACCTAGTGAATATTTAAAACTATTTAGTTGTAATGTTTTAAAATAAGGTTTTTTTTTATGGAATCCACTTGAAATCCATTACAAAAATAATCAATTGACACTTGAAATAATCGAATCAACATCGAATCCACTGTAATTATAATGAAATGACAAAAGTATAAAAAATAATATAGTTGCCTTATTTTTGTGGACTCGCTTGGAAAAATGGTGAATGACTCACCAATAAATTTTGCTAACTCAATAATGAAGAGAATTGCTATTTTAAGTTGTGTCCATCTCTGCCTGTTTGCTTTAAAGTCTATTGATATAGGGACAGAAATTAGGTTCACTTTCATTACTTTCACTTTTAGATAATGCTAATGTAAAAAAGAGTTCTAGCTTTTTGAAATTAAACTCTTTATATAAAGTATTTTCCGTGAAAGTCAAATTTATAATTTTTCACAGGTATGATTATGGTGATCATGATGAATTGATGCATTGGAGAAAGCAGGTAAATATTTTTATTTAGTCAATGTTGTCATTTAAAATTCATTAAAAATATTCTTTGAATTTTTTTTTTAATATGTTGAAAATGTTTTTCTTTTACTTCGTTTACCTAAGTTTTCAATTTTCTTTTTCTTAATTCAAATTATGTGTGTGACGGTCATTTGGTACAACTTAACAATCTAATCATTCAATTAGGCTAATTTTTTTAAACTTTATATATTTACATTTTAGTACATTTTTATCATTAATTTCTTATAGTAATTTTTATCAGTTTAGATATTTAGTATTTGTTATATTAATTTTGCAGATGATTGTTTTCATGTAGAAATCATCGTGGCATCCTTATACTATAGCTCAACTAACACCAGAAAATAATAAAATTTTGGAAGTTTCTAAATTTAATGAAAGTTTACCCCATTCAACTCCAAAGATTGGTTAAGAAGTTTTATCTTAATTAAAAAATTTTAAGAATTTGTATTTTTAATATTAATTTTGCATATTGTTTGTTTTCATGTAGAAGTCATCATGTAATCCTTATACTCAACCAACATCAGAAAATGAGGAAATGTTTAGAGTTTCTAAATTTAATAAAAGTTTAAACTCCTCAACGCCAAAAGTTGATTTTGAAGTTTCATCTTCTTCAAAATGTTTAGCAGTTATAGTAGATTTGGATTTTTATGATTCAGATTCCAGTATAGAATATCTACCGTCATCACTCAATATTTTGCTAGCTAATGCAACTCAAGAAAAAGATAATTTCAACCATAAAAGTGATTTAGAAACAGAACTTTTGCTGTCTGTGCTTAATTGCAGTGGGTATAAAACCCATGCACCAATTGATAGTTTTGGTACAACATTAGATGACTCTTCGGTTGTTGAAACTAATGGTGATGATTCCTCAGAAGAATCAGTTGAATTCAATAATAATGATTCTTTAACAGAAAGAGGTTTTTTAAATAAAAATATAGAAACAATTTGTTTTCAAAAGACTTTTAAAAATAAGAAAGATTTTTTAATAGAAATAAAATCTAAAAATGAATTCTTAGAGAAAAAGTATAAAAAACCTTCTCGCCCTTGCATGTTTTGCCAAAAGACACAGACAAGATTGAAGCGACATATTCTTAAAAAACACAAAAATGAACCTTTAGTAATACCAATTTTATCTATGAATAAAAAAGAACAAGATAGAGAACTAGATGTTTTGCAAAAGAAAGGGATTAGAAATTATAACTCTGTTATTTTAAAAACAGAAAATAATGAGTTTATGAGAGAGCGTCGTAATTTCAATTGTACGCAAGATATGCCAGTTATGTGCTCTGAATGTAAAGGGTTCTTTTTAAAAAAATTTAAAGCTAGACATCAACTAAATTGTCCAGCATCCAATATAAATGTTATGGTGCCTATTGTTTCTTTAACATCCATAATTAAAGTTGATGAATATCCTGTGAAATGTTATCCTAAACGAGTAAGACCAAAAGGTTGGTTTAATATTTATTCAATACTCTGGTTTTGCTAATATTATATTTGAAATATTGTGATTCAAATTTACACAAGTTTTGTTTAGCCAATAGCGTTATCAAAAATTCAAGTTCTGGCTGCAAAGAGACACACGGTAGGTTTATAATCGTTTTTATTTATAATTGTTTTTTTATTCATCACGCATAAAAAAATATTAAAATAATTATAATAAATACTAATATGAAGCATATTAAATTGAATAATAAAAATAATTGTGATAATAATAAGAATACAATAGGGACAGTCATTAGGACAACAATCATACAAAATGGAATTAAGTAATTTATTTAAAACTTTTTAAATTTCATAAACATTTTTTTAAAACAAGAAAAATCGTTTTAATTTCAATGTTTTGAAATATTCATACTAAGTTCATATATCATAGAATTCTTCCTATAGAAAGTTCAATTAATTCAATTAATATAGGAATTCAATTAATATAGGAATGTAATACACATTGAAACTTGTTTATATTTGCAACTGCCTTTTAAAAACTCTAACCGTTCTTGTGAAGGTAAATCAAAGAAACTATTGTTTCTACATTTTTATGTATTATACATATTTATTTCTATATAAATAGTTGTTTCTAGATGAAAATATAGATGAAAACTTAGACGAATGCCATGCCCCTGCTTACAATGATTCTCTTTGTAGTACATCTGAAATAAATAAAAAAGGTTAGCAATAAAATTTTTTTTTAATTTATGTACAAAGATAATAGTTGATATCATTATTTATAGGTGGTGACAATGGAGTTAATAGTTTAATTTCCAAAAAATAACAAGAAAATGTTTATATTCTAAATTAAAATTTGTTCTTTTTTTCTCATTATAATTTATACAGAGGGGTCGCACAAAAAAACATTTAGTAGCTAGAGACTAAATGTACATTAATATAAATTGGATATGATCTTTATAACCATGAAATGCTGTTACTAAAGAGTAATAAGTGATATGCTTTTGTGTTGTTTTCATATATTTATTTTAGTATTTATACAAGGTGGCCACAGCTCCTCTAAAATCCTCATTAGTCCTCTTTTTTAAAAAAAACCTCTATAATCCTCTATTATCTAAAAAATTGAAAATATGATCGAATCTCCTTATTTTATTTTTTTTATTTCTTGATGGTAGAATAATTTTGGTATTTGAAATTGTATACCATATAATGGATATTTGAAATACCCATTATATGGCAGTATAATGGGTATTTAAGATACCCATTCCCGGTCAGAAAAACTGGTTAACGCCTTTAAGTGCTTCAGCTTGTAAAAAATTGCTTTAGTTGTTAATCCATGCCATTTAACATAAAAAATCACATAATTGACCCCTGTCCAAACCCCATAAATGTAGAAACATGGATATTAAACTTATAGTTATAAAAAAAATCCCATGTTTTTTTGAAAATTTGCAAAAAAAATCCGGAAAGATGTCAGATTACCGACGTAAATGCGATGTAATTAGACGTAGAGCGATGTCAAACCAACATTGGAAAGATGTTGGTTTGACGATGTCAAACCAACATCTTTCCAATGTTCTGATGTCAAACCAACATTGAAAAGATGTTGGTTTGACGATGTCAAACCAACATCTTTCCAATGTTGGTTTGACATCGCTCTACGTCTAATTACATCGCATTTACGTCGGTAATCTGACATCTTTCCGATGGTTGGTTTGACATTGCCTAACGTCTGAAGACATTAATTTACGTTAGAATTATGTCATTCCGATGTTGGTCTGACATCGATCAACGTCAAATGACATATATTTACGTCTGTAAACTAGCGTCGTTCCGATGTTAGTTTGACATCGCTCAACGTCGAATGACATCTATTTACTTTGATAGAATGACGTCGTTCCTATGTTGGTTTGACATCGCTTAACATCGAATGACATCTATTTATGTCGTTTATCTGACGTCGTTTCAATGTTGGTATGACATCGCTCAATGTCGAATGACATCTATTTACGTTGGTATTATGACGTCGTTCCAACGTTGGTTTAACATTGCTTAACGTTGAATTACATCGGAATGCTGACGTCGCCCGATGTCTTTTTTTCCGACATCGCCCAACATTTCCATTCCCAACGTTAATCCGACGTCGATCCAACGTCGAGATCGACGTCGTTCGACGTTGTTCCGACGTCGAAATGCCCACTGGGCAGTTGCAGAATGACTTGAAAAAGTTGAACTCGTATGCAAACTAATTAGTGTAATCAATCTGGCGAGTGTTCCCCTCCGCCCCACAAATGGTGAATTTGCAGTATATCAACAGAAAGTGATAAAGAAGATTTTGACCGGAAAAAAGAGGCGTTGCTAGAAGCTTTTGCCGTTGATGCATTTACACCTCACGAACAGTTCATTACAAGAAAGTTAAAGCATGGAGAGGCAGTTTATGTTTATTTCACGAAATTGCGGAGATTATCTACGCTGACCGAGTTATTGAATGTGCCTTCATTTCTGGCTTCCTGTGGAAGTTTGACGGATGATGAGATCAAGTTCTCGTATGGATAATCTTACTACTATTCAAATAATTGCGGGAGCAAGAGCACTCATGATTGAAGAACGGAAAGATAGAACAAATGAAAATTTTGCTGTTGCTGCTGCAAAAAAAAGACGTGATGAGTTGAGGTCGCTTGAAGATTAAACACAACCAGTTTGTTATAAAAGTAAACTCCCCAATAATTTTGCAAGAGATTGTCATTTACGAAGACATAGCAATCAAAGCAATTTTGGTCGAAGACGGGAGACAAGCGATGTTTTGTGTTACTAGTGTCAAGAAAAAGGACACATATCAAGAATTTGTCCAAAAAAGGTGCGGAGGGAGAAGATGTTTGCGCAAACTCTCTCTCTCTCTAAACGATCAATAATGGCGTTACCTACTATACGCTTGGACATTAACAACGTTCTTCGGGATGTGTTGATTGACTCTGGATGTACCTGCTGCATCATATAAAATAAAATGTGCGCCAAAAATTACGAAGAGCGTAGTAAGCATGGTAACTGTTAGTGGACAAAATCAACAGTGCGAAGGCGTTAGCCGAACTCGAATCTTCACACCATATAGGAATTTTTTTTTTATTAAATCACTTGTAGTTGACTTCAAACCACTTGGTTATTGTTTTTTGATGGTTATGGGTGGAATAAGGGCTTTTGGTGGAATATTGATATCTGCAACTCCTAATGTTTGTTTTATGGGAAGAATCGAATCATGTTTACTTAGACTAAGAAGTGATTTGCCAAAAGATGTCAGTAATTGAATATAAAAGCTCGAGATTTTACAGCTTCGTTTGACAAACAAAATCTAAAATGGATAATTGCGCAGAATTGAAATAATAATTCTCAACCTGAAACTTTAGTGAATAAGATAGCTGAATACACAATCCCTGTTGGCATAAAACACAATTAAGAAAAAGAAACTGAAGGTGGGATAGAGAAAAAATGGCTGCAAAAGTATGACTTGGAGAAACACGGTTTAATAAAAGGTTTGGTTCCTCTCATGGAAACCGTGCAGCCAAACAAAGGAAAAGTACGACCAGTATTAGACTTCAGGGAGCTGAACACGTTTATTAAAGCATTCACTGCGAACACAGATGCGTGTGCTTTATAACTTTGAGAATGGAGACGCTTTGGAGAAAATGTTTCAATAATTGATTTATCTTTAGCTTACATACAGCTAAAAATTGATAATATACTTTGGACTCAACAAACTGTTGTGTACTTTGAACAAAGATTTTGTTTAACACGTTTGTGATTCGGACTTAACGTTGCGCCAGTTATAATGAAAGAAGTGTTGGACAAAGTGGTATCACGAGAAAAAATAATCTGGAAAGGAACGTCATTATACATTGATGATACTTTTGTGAATGAAGACAAAATACCTGTTTGTCGCGTAACTGATCATTTTGAAATCTATGAGCCTCATTGCAAGCCGGTGGTCTGCGTATCCGATGGAGCGAGAGCTCTTGGTTCAAAAGTCGGAATAGAAAATAAAAAGTTATTTTAAAGAAAAGATAATAATTTGAAATTGTAAAATTCCTAAATCACTAACAAGACGAAACATCTTTTCTTTGTGCGGAAAAATGAATGGGAATTTTCCAGTTTGTGATTGGTTGCGTGTGGCCTCGTTATAGGTTAAAAAAACAGCAAATGCCCTGACGAAAACGTGGGACAAAAAATAAAATGCAATTATCTGGAAAAAATGCTGAATAATATGGTAAAAATAAAACGAAATGACGATCCTGCTAAAAAAATTGTGAGTGTTTACAATAACGAGGTAACAATTTTGGTAGATGCTAGTTCACTAGCACTAGGCGTGGTTGTCGAGGTTGATGGCAATTTAATTGAAGAAGCTTGTGGGTTAAGAAGAGACTCCACAACACATATAAACATACCTGAAATTAATGCAGTAAATAAAGGACTAAATATGTGCCTTATTTGGAAAAATGGAAGTTCTGCACATCAGCATTGATTGAAAAGCGGTATTCCATTGGGTTTCCAACGCACTTACGGGAGTTTTTTCATAAATGGAATAATTTAATTAAATTTTTTTCATAAATGTAATTATGTAAATAAATGGAACGTTAAACTTCAAGTCAGATGCGCCTATTTACCTTTGGGAAATGGAATTGCAGAACGATGTCACCGAACTGTCAAAAGAACAGCGAAGAGAGTTCCGTGCAGTAAACTGGTTTTGCAGTAAAGTCCAAAGAATATTTGTTAGTCTTCTACTGCACCTGCAAATAAATTGTATCAATACGAAGTTAGAGTAATAGGCATTGATAACAACAAGAGTGCACATGATCCTTGTAAGAGGATAACTAATAAATTCTAACTTGGCGATAAAGTATGGGTTTAACCGGATAGCTGATACGACTCTTAATATAAGATTGAAATAATGACGGGATAATCTCGGAGCAAACGTTAGAAGGGGACAACAAGTGTCAACATGTACGATACCTAAGAATAGTAAGAGTTGACAACAATTCGAATGAAGATCTTGGAAAAGGAAGAGGTGACAATGATTTAAATAAGGATTCAGAAGATGATTAAGAATTATATATTCTACTGCATGGAGAAAAACTAAAAAAAACGCCAGTGTTACGTAAAAGCACACAAAAAGAAGGGCCAAAGAGCGTTTTAGTCCTTGAGATAATCATTTTTACTAAGAGGAAGTGTAAAGTGTAATTATATTTTATGATTGTTATTGATCGATATGCGTTAATTGTAAATAGTTGGATTTAATATTAAGTCATAGTTGTAAGTTCCAAGAGAATATGGTTGTATATAAATTATATTGAATTGGATTAAAAAATATGAGGCGTTTTAAGATTTAACTTACAAATTATATTTTGATTTGAAACTACAGTTTATTCATTTTAAATTAGTATAGCAAAAATAAATTTTATCAAACTTAACATATATGCTTCATTATGTCAAATAACTTATCAGCTGAATATAGGAGGAATTGCTGCAGTGTAAGTAATGAAGCTTGACGTGAAAAATTAATTGCCACCAAATTGAAAGAAATGAGGCTAGGAGAGTATTACTTAGATGTGGAATGCATTACATAGCAAGGAATATTATTTTTAAAGAGAAAAATTACTTGGGATAAATCAATCATATTTGTCAATAATGTTGTGCTAAAAAGTTTTTAAATGAAAAAAATATTTGTGCTACCATTCAGGAAAAGTTATCTTAGCTCCGCTTTTACTTTATCCACCGCTAGTGATTGACAGGCAACAATGTTGATTGTAATTTAAGTCAAAATTTCTTCAATTATGCCTCATCACTGATTACTGTTGCTTTTTATCCATTTACTGTTTATTGTTTGATTATTTTCTCTTTTAACGTTCTATATTTTCTTTTCTATAAAACTTTGTCACCATTGCAAGTTTTGCAATAAAAAATAAAAGATAATCACAGAGCCATCCAATGCGATTGTTGCTCCTTTTCGATTCATGCAAAATGTATTCCAGTTGACAAACATGCTTACAATCTGCTTTCTAATGACTCTTCTGAACGGTTTTGCCCTAACTGCATATCAAACAATATGCCATTTGGCGTACTCTTTAATCTGGAACTTAAATCAACTGTTTCCTGCAAAAATCCTTCTTATAAAATAAAATTTCATGAACCCCCTGATTATCTCAAAAACTAGTTTAAAACCATAAACAATGTTTTTAATCCAACAACTAAATGCAAATACCTTGACCTTAATGAACTAAATAAATCTATTAATCCTGGTACAGAAATTTATCTTTATCTAAATATTTCTTCTCTTCCATTTCAAATAATTGATCTCTCCAGCTTTGTTGGTACCATTAATACTTCTCCCATGGTAATAGGAATTACTGAGTCTAACTTATATGTAAAAGATTATAATATAACTGACATTACCATACAAGGATATAGCATTGAGCACTGTCCGATAGAATCAAAAAAAGGTGGTGCACTTCTTTATCTAAATTCGAATCTTAATTACATAGTTACATAGAACTATTTACTAAATTTAAATTATACAGAAATAAAATTAGCAATTTGTTAAGGTATTCTAAAAAATTGTACTATGCATCTTTTTTCAATAACAACATCAATAATGTAAAGAATACCTGGAAAGGATTTAAGGAAATCATAAACATCAAACCATTTACTTCTACTGTCTTTTAACCTCAAAATCAATGAAAATGTCATCTCAGATCATACCAGTGTTGCTAATATATTTAACAATTATTTTACGACTATTCAAGACGAACTACTTAAAAATACTGTTCCCTCTAAATGTGCTTTTGGCAACTTTCTTAAAATACCTAGTATTAATTTTTTTTTCATTGAGCCCGTGACTGAAAATGAGGTGGCGAATCTCATAAAAGATACTCTTAAAAATAATAAAAGCCTTGGTCCCAATAGACTGCCAACATTTTTACTAAAGCTGGTGTCTCACATAATCTCCAAACCTCTATGTACTATGATGAATAATTCTTTCAAAAATGGTATTTTTCCAGAAGCTTTTAAGGTAGCCAAAGTAATTCCTATACACAAAATGGGCTCTTATCTAGACTACTCCTATAATCGACCTATTCCCCTTCTTTCTAACTTAAGTAAACTATTTGAAAAAGCAATGTTCCAAAGACTCGAGTAATTTTTGGAAAAACATAAATTTATTTACAAACACCAGTATGGTTTTCGCAACAAACACTCAACAACTCATTCATGATTAGAAATAACCGAGAAAATTAGACAAGCCATCGATAATAAACACTTTGCGTGTGAAGTGTTTATTGACATAAGAAAAGCATTTGATACATTTGAGCACACAATCCTCTTAGAAAAATAGAAACACTACGGTATAAGAGGTATTCTTTTTCTCTGGTTTTCCTCTTATCTTTGTAATAGAACACAATTTGTTTCAATTAATGGTATCAACTCAGGACTAGCTAAATCTTTTAATGGTGTTCCGCAAGGCTCGGTTTTAGGTCCATTACTTTTCTTATTTTTATCAATGATTTAAATGTTTCTCTTAAATTTTCTACTGCTTATCACTTCACGGATGACACCAACTTACTCCTAATTAATAAATCACTTAAAAAACTTAACAAATATGAATCACGATCTAGCTAATGTTGTTCAATGGCTCCGCTCCAATAAATTATCTCTTAACTAAAAAAAAACGGAAATTATTATATTTAAATCTGCTAAAACAAAAATAAATAAGCAATTAAATTTCAGATTAAGTGGCCAAAAAATAAATCCAGTTAACTCTATTAAATAACTTGGAATAAAAATAGACTCTAATTTATCTTTTGCATCGCATCTTCAAGACTTAGCATTGAAATTAAGCAGATCGAATGGTATTTCAGCTAAAATTCATCATTTTGTTATATTTATATCATTATATAATTTATATCATGCTATTTTTTACTCTAATCTCAGATATGCTTGCCAAGTTTGGGGACAATCTAAGCAGGTTGCTTTTTTAAGACTAACTTATCTCCAAAACAAAGCTCTAAAATTAATTTACTTTCAACATACTAATTCGAACTGTAGCATACTCTACTTTTTATCTAAAGTCCTTAAATTGTGTGACCTTATTCAGCTATCAAATTGTCTACTTGTTTGGAACCAAAATCATAATAACTTACCTCTTACATTTATCAACTTTTTTAGTTATAGGGAAAACTGTAAATATATTCTACGATATACTCTCAACTTTAAATTATCTGTACCTAAATACCGAACTGTTCATTACGGCTACGAATCC